TTCTTTAAACCACAATTTGAGGACTTCAATGGCTCAGACATAGGTTAGGGGTTTGTTGCGGGAGTGGGTGGGTGAGATTCTGTGGCTTGCGGTGTGCAGGAGGTCAGACTAGGTCCCTTCTGACCTTTAAGTCTCTGACTCTATGCTGCCTCATTGTGTACTTCCGGTTCTAAATGAGGTGTGTGGTTGACTGGTCAGTTCGTAACTCTGAGGTTCTACTATATTTGCAGTTCCAGTCTCAGATACCATCTGCTCTCTTTTCCAGTCCCATATTGCCACTGCCCAGCTGGACCCAGCAACCTCACATACACCCGCAGTAGCAGAGGGGAGCATTTTCACTGCTCTATGGAATGAATACCTCCATCGTTGTTATATAGAGATAAAATCTGCTTGGTATGTTAGAAAAATATGCTGACTTGGAATCTGAGGTGAGATTTCCATCATTTATGTTAATGAGCTCACTGGTGGGGAATTTGTAGAATGTTTCCTTAAAAAAGCTGTTGCAGTCAGTGTTTGATGGAACTTATAACTTGTTTCCCGCCCACCCCACCCCACCCCAAAATACAAGATTACCAATAATTTTCCCACTCAAATATAGAGAGGAATAAATATAGCGAGACCTGTCCTAAACAGGAACCCAAAGGACTATCAAAAAAGAGAGGTGCCTAGAAGAATTGCACTTTAACTACAGTTTCATTTCAATTCTGCTTAAAAGGTTGGGGATACCTTTAACTGTTGAATAACCAATAGGATGCTTATTCAAATGGCTCTGTAGTGAATGTTTATTGATAATATTTTAATTGCTGATGAATTGCTCTACAGTTTAAAAAAACAAAAGTTGAACTTTCAGAAATTGTAGGGATCAGTATATCAGCTGAAGACTGAATTACAATGGCATTTTTTTTTATTTTAGCCTTGATAAGTGCCTGATTCTCCTCTCATATCCATGTAATACAGGAATAATTCCATTAAGATCAGATTGTCAGGTCTGTTCTGTGTATAGCTGTGTTGGCCTAAAGCACCCATATAATGAGAAGATCCAACCCAACCCCTCATGATTTCCCCATTGTGGGGGAAGCCACCACGTGAGCAGGTATTGAGAGTGGCACATGCATACAGGTCCACCATTTTCCCCCACTGCTTCCCGCCCACCCCAAAATTCACTCCTTGGGTGTGAAATGTTCAGATTCCCTGGAGCTATAGTTTAAAAACAAAAACAAAAACAGAAAGGCTGACTCAGGTAGATAAATTGAATTCCATATGGTTTCCTACGCGCACGCCCTCACTGCTCCACATGGAAAAGAGAAAAGCTCCCATAAGAATAGAATCTCCCTCCTTTCACAGATAGTGTTCTGTGTTCAGGTTGTATGTCTACCTACTGCTTTACACCCTCAGGTGGCTGCATTTCTGTGGTGCTGTGTATGTACTTCAATCATCCCCAGTGTTGCTAATAGTGGTGGTGGGCTGGCACATCACCTTGGGAGTAGTATTGTGTTAAGTCACTAGGCTCATTGAGGGAATAATAAACACATGAAAATTGGGATTTGGGACTGTCACTGCTGAGGGGAGATGGGGGGGGCAGAAATGAAGGGTTAGGAGGAGATTTGCAAGGTTGAGCTGGGTTGTGGAGAAGCTACTGCGGATGTATGTGAGGTTGCTGGGTCCAGCTGGACAGTGGCAATATGGGACTGGAAAAGAGAGCAGATGGTATCTGAGACTGGAGAATTAAGTATAGCTCAGGTCAGAGGAGCCAGTTCCGCATCTGAATATTCACAGTTACTATCACACTTACTTTTTTGTTGGTTTGGTTGTTTTGTTTCTGCATCATGCTCTTGTGAGTGCATCCATCTAGGTACTTATATGGCCCACACACCAAAGTAGTATTTGAGTGCTTCAGTGCAGAAAGCATAGTACCTGACATGTCTCCTTCCCACCTAGCCTTACTCAGTCCTGCTCCCACCTCTCTGCACTGAGTGAGGCAGAAGAAAAGTAAAGTGGCAACACTCCTCAGCAAGCACAGCAGCCTCTGGGGGAGGGAGGATGCACAGGGAAACGTCACTCACCACCTTTCGCACAGCGTGACAGGCTTCCTCAGCACGGAGGGTGACTATAAGGTTTAACCCATCGTTTGTAAACCAATTTGGGATCCTTCAAGACAAAACACACTAAGTTACTATATTATTATTGCATCCACTACATGAGACGTATCTTGAAACACAGCCAAAAATAAGGGGGGAGAACCCAATCTGTCTAAGCTACATGGAAAAAAAAATCAGCTTATATAGGATAGTAAATCTGTTAAAATACAGCCATCATTTTAGCATGTAAACACAACCCTTAAATATTGTGAGTGGGGAAAAACCCAACCAATAACAGCTAACACCTTCTCTCCTTTCTGTCACTAGACATTTCAATGTAATTTGTGCAGTATTTTTTTTAAATGTTTATTTTTTGAGTGACACCATGTCCTGGATAGCTGTAGCCATAAGACTTGCAAAACGCTGCTCTTAGCTCACAATTTGTTGGCAACTTGTTTCTTTATATCATTAATATTTAATTACAAGTTTGTTTTATTACTAATTTTCTGTTCAGAGAGTTAGTTTTTGTAACAATGCACTCCTGTTTTGACAGAGGCACTATGACAGTGGAAACATGTTTAAACAACTGGGTTCAATGGCATCGTTGACTTATGAAGTTGTTTGTTTGTATTTAAAGGCTGACTTGCTAACATCGCAGCTAAGTCATGCATTAAGTCTCAAGTCATCAGTAAACCCAGCAGCAGAGACCCAGTCATGAGACAGACCAGCTGATAAGGTGAGCTTTCATCCCAATATTGGAAAAAATATTTTAAGAGCTAGACACCTAGTTGTTACAGGTAGCAAATTCAGTCCACATAACTAGCTATGCTTAAGTATCAGAGGGGTAGCCGTGTTAGTCTGAATCTGTAAAAAGCAACAGAGGGTCCTATGGCACCTTTGAGACTAACAGAAGTATTGGGAGCATAAGCTTTTGTGGGTAAGAACCTCACTTCTTCAGATGCAAGTAATGGAAATCTCCAGAGGCAGGTATAACTGATTTATACCTGCCTCTGGAGATTTCCATTACTTGCATCGGAAGAAGTGAGCTTCTTACCCACGAAAGCTTATGCTCCCAATACTTCTGTTAGTCTCAAAGGTGCCATAGGACCCTCTGTTGCTTTTTAGCTATGCTTAGTGGCTTATTTGTTAAGGGAAGGGTTTTCCAAGCCTTCAGAGATGACCTACTTTGTTCCCACAGAAGTAAACAAAAGTGTGTTTAACATCCACCCAGAAATGTGGTAAGTAAAGAATTAGAAGTGAAACATGGTATATTTTAAAGAGCGAATAAAAAGTAGCAGCAGCCATTACTTCCAATTCTTTTTGAATAGCATTACTTTGACAAACAAAAAACAGCCAAAGTTGAGCCCAATGTTGCTTAGATTTGGATAGTTTTATATTGAAATATCTCTGTAGTATTATAATAGTGGCCACCACTTTACTCATGACTGCATCAAAAGTTTTCCTTCTAACCTCCTGTTTCCAATTGCTCATAACTTTCAGCAACTTTCACCTCTAAGAATGAAATTTTCCATGCAGGAATTTTGCATAAAGGTGAATTTTTCTTCCAAAGTCTTACCAAAAAATTGTTCAGACGTTTCTGAACATGAAGAGAATGATTTTTTTAAAGTGTTAACTTAATTTGAAGTGTTTTTCAACCAAACTGGCTGAGGTTTGAAAACAAGTGTGGAAATATCCCTCAACATGAAGCAGCACAAGACTGTGTTCTGGAGGAAATTGGTTGTGATTTGACCAAATCACATGTTGAAAGTCCGGTTTTGAACATACCTAGATGATAACTTTGACCATGATCCTTAGGTGCATATCTAAGAAAGGATGTACTATGCATATTGCTGGCCACATGCTAAGCCCAATTATTGCACCTTTGTGCCAAATTATCAGCCTGGCCTAAGGCAACCTCCTTTTGGCGTCTGTGCCAGTCTGTATGCACCAGCCTGGTTAGGTTGACCTGCTGCACAGTGAGCATCTGTGGCCTTACATATTCTACAGGGCATGGAATGTTGAAGATAATTTCTGCTTGATAGGACCCTAACAGTTCATCTGCCCCTGCTGTCTACTCTCCTGCCAAAGTCAATCTGTTCTTTGAGAGATCATAATTGCTCACCGTGGAAGCGAACATTACGTCAGAATTATCATAGCTTCATACAAACATCTCTGATAACAAAAAATAGAGGGAAGTTTATAGACAGCTCGCAGTGTGGATCAGCAAGAGCGTTTTGCTCTAAATTGAATTCTTATATTTCTAAAATTTTGTACAAAAACCCCAACAGATGCTCTGGGTGAAAAACTGTTTATTTGGACAGTTACAGAGCCCAAATCATAGACTGAGGTTTATCGAACCTTACAGAAGAATTGCTTTTTGTTGTTTATCCTTTGTAACATAGCAGCCAACAAACTGAATTTCACACAAATTATCCAGTTATGGGCAAAATCTTGTGGTCCTTACTCAAGAAAGACCAAATTGGGAAGTAAATATTCTTTGAAAAGACGGCATCATTCATAGCTAAACTGTTGATAAATTACTCAGTTTGAAGGCAAAAATAAGGGTTCATCGTGGACATCTGTGCTTGTTTGAAAAAACAAAAACAAAACCCCACAAATTTGGCCTCTTGTGGGCCATCTCTGTAGCGAAGCTAAAGTTGAATATCTATGGAGAGTGAATGACCTTCTCAGCCACTAAAGTTGATCCTTCTAGATCAGGATTTAGGCTCTGTGATGAAGAGAAGCTTGCAGTGCTGCTGTACATAATTAACCTGCCTTGCAGGTAGACCAAATTTTTGTTTCTAGAGATATCTAGTACCTTTGAGCATTAAACTCTCTACTAAAGAGTCAAACATGGTATTTTTTGGCCTTTTGTATTCTTATTGAATAAAATAAACAAGCCACTCGGTGCCAGTTGTACAGTAATCGCTCCTGAAGTGGTTCTTCAGAAACTCAAGAGGATCATTCAGTTTCAAAATATATTTTTCCAAATGATTTTCGAAGTGTTTTAAAATTGAAGGGTGGGAACTGTAGATGTTCTATAGACTTGCAACCAGCAGCAGCTCCTCCAAAACCTGCTCCTGGGTAGATACCATACACACAACATGCTTTTACCTTGTTCTCAAAAGCATGATTTTTAAAAGACATGACTTCTCTGGAGGATACATCAGCTTCAGTCAGTAATGGTTTGCCAATACCTTGACACCATTCCCTCCAGATACAGCTTTTGGTGCTGTTAGATCTTCAAATGACATACGAGGGCAATGGCCATTGGTGTTTTGCAGGCAGATGAATTAATCTATTTCCTGAATCTCTGTAAACTTCTGCATTTGCAAGTATTCCCAGTTTGGATATCTTACTCAACACTAATTAATACAGGTCTATACATCTCATTGCTTACATTCTTCCTGCTGATCCTTCTTTCATACTCAGTAAGAGCCAGAGTCCTCTGTCCACACACAGGTTTTCAATATAGCTACCAAGTTTTGGGCAACGCCATATAACATTTTATGCAAATTACATAATGAACTAATTTGCATATAACCAAAGTTTCATCTTAAGAAATTGTGTGGCTATAGTACTCGTGAAAGGTATCAGACCAACAGACCTGTGCATGATGCAGCAGCAAGGCAAATTTCCCACACACACTTGCCTCAACCACAAATTTGGAGGGAAGGATTTCAGCTAAGAATAACAGGGGTCATTTACTTTCCATGCCCTGTGCAGTTCTTGGCCCTCTGCTAATTAGTGCAAAGCTTGACGGTGAATTTGTGATGTGGGACCAGGAATGGAGACCCACCAAACTCTTCTCACAAGGGCCACCAGACATCCTTTAGATGGAAACAACTTGTAATCCCTTCTGATCTGGGCTGGACTCAAATTGGTGAGCCACAAATGAATGGCTCTGTAGCTCACTGGTAATGACCTGAGGCATCCAGTCCCCCACTAAGTGCTAAATTAAGAGAGAGACCTACAGATAGATGTTACATTAAAAGAAGAAAAGTTGAGAAACATTAACGTTACAATGTTAGGAAGTTAAGGTTATCCATCAAGTCTTAATTTGCACCTTTCCTTGACATTTCACCAGCAATATAGGAAGGTGAGACAAGGCATGAGTGTCCTATGAAATGCATGGCGCTTGGCTCGGTTTCAGTTGATGCCAATAGGTGAGTAACAACTCCCCTTGCTTCAAGCATGCTGGTACCTTAAAGAAAAGAAGTTGGCTTCCCAACTTCCAATCTCAAGAAGGTCAACAATACTGGCAATATATTTAAATTTAAAAAAAAAACCTATAAATCACTTCCTTGAGGGCTTCCCCAAAAGCATAGGCTGGCATGTAAAACTTAACATTGTTCTGGCTCCTTTATTCTATTTTCTGTCTTCAAGGTGGTATGCTTGGGGTTTTGTTTTTTGTCTCCACTCCATTTGATTATTCTTTTTTTCCTCCTTTCTGTCTGTTTTCTCTTTCCGTGTTATACCCTTGAGCCAACATTTTGGAGGCTGCCATACTGTTCCTCTTCCCACTTTCTGTAAAAGAGTTTGGGGTACTTTGGTGACCCCTGCAGTATGATGCTATAGGTTGCCATCTATGTCCCTTACCCTTAAACCAAGCCCTATTCCAACCTTAGGCCTCAATACTGTAAGTAAAGTTATACATATGTAAGTACTCACATTAGCACCAACAGAGCTAGTCATGTGAGTAAAATTGTGTGTGTGTGTTTACAGGATCTGATCTTTATGTATAAAGTAAGACTTCACAATTATAGCCTCAAAAATGAAGTGATTTAAAATCAGTAGTTACAGAAACTCATAATGACCTGCATGGAGGCTTGCTTTTTTGCTTTTTTTTTTTTTTTTTTTTTTTGGGACAATGGCATCAAATATTACAAGAGCACAGCTGAGTCTTGTTATGAAATTCCAATCAAGATTTTACCTGGGAATATCAAATCAGATTTGAAAACAGACCTGATAGCACTGGTCAGACAAGTAAAGAATTTTCTTGGTCTGATAGTTCACTTCCAATACTTCATCAGTGAATGCCTTTCATTTGCAGTTTCAGATTTCAATGTTATGCTATCCCATCCAAAATGGATAGTGGTAACATGCCCAGCTAGAGAGAGCAACGTTTGATCTTACTGAATAGTACTAAATGTATGCTCCACATTAGTGCTACCCCAAGGTAACTGGAGTATCCAAAGGCAACAACATAGATGCCACTGCAAGTCTCTTTAAGATCCATTTCCTGAGCAGTACAATAAATTTAAAATCCTGAAAGCCTAAATATATGCTTTGAAAATTTCTTGTGTAGTAAGGCTCAACTGAGATACTGCATCTGTTAGTAAAATCCTGTTCCTCCCCCCCCCCAATTTTTACATGAGGGTTGACACTATCAAATGAGCTAGGACCTGGGTCTCCTTGGATCCCAGCCCTTTGCTCTGATTGCTACAGAGAGGATCTTTAAAAAGGGCCAAATTTCAACCACAGTTCAGAGGAAACTGAAGTTGATACTATTTCTGTTTTGGGTTTTTTTTTTTTAAATTCATGTTAACTTGTTTCATTGGGCAGCACTGATCATTGCACTGCCTTTCAGAGAATGTGAAGGTACCTGGGCCCTATTAAAACTTTTGACATCTGAACAGCTAACCTTTAGAATGGCATTAAAATGCCAACTCCTTATAGCTGGGTTTGGACAGATTTTATTTTAAACAAAACTAGGCTCCCACCTCTTATAGCCGATGGGAGGTGTCTGAGCCTCCCCTGTTACATCTACCTCTCCCAGCCCAATGTCATGGGCCAACTCCTGCTTTCCTTACTTAGCAGTAGTAACATAGAAATCAGTGGACCTACTGGTGTGTCACCAAAGCACATAGGCATAAGCCCCCCATAGCACCCGTGCAGAAGCCACTCAGCCAGGAGTCATCTGCACTGGGATATAGATGGAACCTCAGCTAGGACACTTCTACTGGGGAAGTAGCTGCAACTTTTCTAGTGACTCTGTGCTTCTAGCTCCTGCCGTAGGGGGCAGAACGTTCAGTAGCAAAGGAGGAACTTGAGAGCAAAAAGCCAAACCATCCACCCCCAAAAGGGACCCTAGAAACACTCCCTCTCTCTCCCACCCCCATCTTTACAGGAAACGAAAGAGGGGCGTCTGTAAATGCCTGCACCGCCAGGCTCGACCTGGACCGTACCTTGCCTTCACCTCATGCACACGCACCGCACCCTCCCCCTTCGCGCGCACAGCCCAGTTCATCCCCGGGGCAATCCGCTGAAAACCCGGGAATTCCACCAAGGATGAGCATGGGCCCCACAACCTGCAGCTGAGCTGCACTTCCCCCTCCATGCACACTACCTCTGCACAATCCGGAGTAACATCACCGATTTTAGTGGCTTAATCCGGATTTACACCACTGTCAGTGAGAGTAGCATCAGGCCGCACTTGCTTCCCTCCTGGGCAGGCGGACTTCCGCTGACCTGCACACACCGCCTCCCCCCGCCCACTCAACACCTTTATCTACCCCCCCCCCCCACCACACGCCTCTCTGGGCTCACGGGCCGCAGCCCAGCGACCCTCCCCCCTTTGCAAGCAGCCTCCAGCAGAGCCGCCACAGCAGGCTCCCAACCCCAGGCGGGGGCGCACGTGCCAGTAGGCGACGGGGCGGGGGGGGGGGTGGTATCTGGACGCGGGCAGCGGGGCACTGCAGGGAGCGAGCCTGGCTGCGGAGCCGCTCCCTGGCCCGGAGCCCGCCCCCACCTGCCTCGCCGCCCGCTGCCTTCAACTCACAGCGGCACAAGGTCCTGCCCCCGCCCGGCAGCCCGGGGCCCCTGCGGCGACCACTCTGTCCCCAGCTCGGCCTCTGGCTCCTCAGGCGCCCCACCCCCCTACCTGTCCCGCGCGCCGGGGCCAGCCGAGGAGCGGCAGAGGCAGGTCCGAGCTCCCCTTCCAGACTTTGGCGAGTCCCGGCTGCGGCTCCGCACCTGCCTCTCACACCTAATAACAAAAGCCCGGGCGTCAGGTGGCAAGAGACGGACTGGCCGCCCATTGGCTGGCCGGGCGAGCGCCTGTCGCTGGTTGGCCGGGGGGCGGGCCGGGGAGCGCTGACGCCAGGCCGGGGCTGGCGGGGGGAGCGGCGCGCGGCGCCTTTGTGTTCTCCGGCAGCAGCGGGGATATTGGCCACATCCATCATCGCGGGCGGCGGGGCTGGCAGGAACTGCCGCGCTATGTCTCCAAGTGCTCCTGTGCCTGCTCAGGGGCCGCTTCCGACGCGCCGCGGGGCTTTCCACCCGGCTCTGGAATAGAGGGCGAGGGGAGCCGCCCGGGGCAGGGCTGGCCCGAGCGCAGGGGGGCGCCGAGAGCCGAGCGGGAGGGAGCCGGGTTTGCAAACCACCCAGGACGCTGGATTTGCGGCTGGCCCGGTAGAAGGGGGGCGGGGGAAGCCGGGAGTGGTGCCTGGGCTTGAAGCGGAGCCTCCGTGGCTTTTTTTAGCGCGCGGCGCGGCGCGGCGAGATGCTGCGGCTGGAGCTCTTCCTCGGCGTGGCGTGGCTGGCCGGGCTGGCGTGCGGGCAGAACGAGACGGAGCCCATCGTGCTGGAGGGCAAGTGCCTGGTGGTGTGCGACTCCAACCCCACCTCGGACCCCACGGGCACGGCGCTGGGCATCTCGGTGCGCTCGGGCAGCGCCAAGGTGGCGTTCTCCGCCATCCGCAGCACCAACCACGAGCCCTCGGAGATGAGCAACCGGACCATGCTCATTTACTTCGACCAGGTAGCGCGGGTGGGGAGCAGGGGCGCCAGGGCGGAGGCTGCCCGGGGATCAGAGGGGCGGGCTGGGGGTGGGCAGTAGGGAGAGGCGGGTGTGTGGGGGGGTCTGTGGGGCAGTTGTTGGCGTGGTTGAGGGAGGAGATAGACGGTGGAGTGGTGGCTTGAGGTCCTGCCATAGCCGCGTCCCCTAGCCCTGCGCCAGAGACAGGCGGCCGCGTTAACCAGCGGGCGGGCGAATGGCAGCGTCCCGCTGTTCCCCCAGGGGGAAGCTGCTCCGCAGAAATGCCCATTAACACCCAAACGCGGAAACTTTCCAGTGCAGCGCAAAGGGGGGCAGGCAGCAGAGACTGGGGCTGCGACCCAGCGAGGCGCGGGCAGGGAGCTTGCGAGCCCCGCGCCGGGGTAGCCTGTGCACAGCTGCGGGGGGTGGAGAGGATGGGCGGGCAGGACAGCTCCGGATGCTGAGCCGGGAAAGCCCAGCCCGGTGCCCTAGCACACGCCCCTGCGGGTCCCTCCGCTCCCCCCTGTGATGCTGATGTCCCCGTTTCCATTGCAGGTGCTAGTGAATATCGGAAGCAACTTCGACTCGGAAAGAAGCACTTTTATATCGCCCAGGAAAGGGATTTACAGTTTTAATTTTCACGTGGTGAAGGTGTACAACAGGCAAACCATCCAGGTCAGACTCCGCTCCTTTCTGCCTTTGCTCGCGGGGCGGTTTGATTGGGGTTAGGCACTCCGGTGCCCGGCGCCAAAGGGCCCCAAACTTCTCTCCGCGTGGTTGAGCTAGAGCCGGTGAATTTATCTTGTGGGACTTGGCAGCGTCAGGTGTGGAGCATTTCATGTCAGTAACCCAAGAAAATTCAGAGGGAAGTGGGAAATCAGGAGGCTAGATAGTGTTTCTTTTATCTGGGGTGGCTATTTAGGAACTCTCCTGTCGTGTGGTAATATAGTGATGTTTTATATCATGAGCTTGGGAGGAGGCGTTTTAAACAGAAAGTGCTGAACTTTCCCTAACAATATTTTCAAATAGGAGAGTATCGTGAAATCTGCCCTAATGTGTCTAGGGCCTTGCCGCGGCCCCCTCTGGCGCATTGCTTGTCCTAGGATGGCTGAGTATATACTGGTGACAAATGAACCACCCAAAATGAGCGTTTAGTGGTACAAGCAATTCATGCTTTTCCCATTCCCGTTGCCCGTGTAACGCAAGGCCTACCCGCGAACGCTGATCCCAACGTATCAGCATTAATCTCCAAGAAAACCTAAACATTGGTCGACTAAATGCAATTTATCTTTAACCGAAATTATTAAACTCTAAAAAAAAATAGGAAAATTATATCATAATTATTAGGTTAAAAACAGTCTCTCTGTGTCTCTGGTTTGGCAAGGTGTATGGAACAGGGATTTTTTAACATTTGGTAATTGTACAAGGTTTAACCGATGATGTAGAAGGCTGGGGACTAAAGCATCTAATCTTGATACAGCAGATCTGTTGCTGAATGTGTGTGTATTGTATATGGTATATATACCATATACATTTATACTGTTATACATTACCTGCCAAATAGCAGATTATATAATCTAAATAGCAAATTACAGTTTATATAGGTACAGAGCAAATTATTGTGTGTGTATTTTTTATGCACGACCAGATTAGGCATGTAGTACATTATTAATGTGAGGCATACAGTGCTGGTATTATTAATGTGAGGTATACAGTGCTTATTGACTCTGTAGTGGTACATTGTTTTTGCTGCCTAACAAAGGAAAACTACCTCCTGAATACACTTCAAAGACATTGACTGTAGCTGCAGTGGCACCTCTCTTCATCCTTTTTGAGGTTTCACATAAAGCCATCTTTCAATAAGTAGGGACAGACCTCTTCATACCCTTAAAGCAAAGGCATCCTATTGAAAATGTTCAAAACAGGATTAATGTCCTATTTCATATGTATGGTGTGTTTTGATGTAGGCAGTCAAGCCAAAGCAGAAATAAAAGATCCCCTTTCTTTAGAATTTGTACCCTAGCTGATATTAGATTTATATTTCATTTTTAGAAATATCTAGAGTTTCATGTGACAGAAATAATAGAATGACTATTTTGGCTGCTAGGTGAGCCTGGAGCCTGGAAGCCCTGGCTGTTATCCCTGTCTGATTTTAATTTACAGAGGGCTTTGTTTTATCTTGCTCTTTAGGTGAGTTTGATGCTAAATGGGTGGCCAGTGATTTCCGCCTTTGCAGGTGACCAAGATGTGACCCGAGAAGCTGCCAGCAATGGAGTCCTGATTCAAATGGAGAAAGGAGACAGAGTTTATCTAAAACTGGAGAGAGGAAACTTGATGGGAGGCTGGAAGTATTCGACATTCTCTGGATTTCTAGTATTCCCTCTTTAAATAACTTATCATCTGAACAGAGAGAAAGCAGCAAGTCAGAGAATTTCGTGTGAATTCCCAAATTGTAGCTGGGTATGAAAAGCCTTGGACAGCAAACTTTTTACATTCAAATATTAAAGAAGCTAAATCCTGCTTAGGTTTGTGTACAACTGCTTTGAACAATTATTTTTGTTGTTGCAGCCAACAGATAGGAGACAATATAATTGATCATATCTCCATTTATATTCCCCTCTTTACACCCCAAATTAGTTAAAATCTGTGTATCACTGGTGTAATTTGCCATCATTTCCCCAGTGGTTCCTGTATCACACTATTATATCTTCACTATTTACACTGTTCTTCATATTTTGTAGTTTTGTTTTTAAAACATGTTATTCTTGACTCTTTATCTGAGTTTAACATTAAAAAAGCAAAGTATTTTTGAGTACATAGATGCCACGATGAAAGATAAAATGCAAATCTTGCTGAATACTGGCTGACAAAAGTTTAAGAAAAAAAGAGAGAGAGAAATTTATACATGAAGAACTATTCACAGCCAAGGCTGACCAGAGTATTTCAATATTTCTATGTAATTCTGAGTGATTGTGGAATTTAAGGCTGCTAAATGTTTTGATGCTTGTTTAGCTCTTGTAAAATGTGGCCCAACTAAACTCCAGGAAGTATATTGAACTTTTACTATTATTCTGTAATATATGTGTGAATATCGAAAATTAATTTTTGCTTTAATTCAATAAAGTTTAAATGGGAATTTATTATTCTTAAACAGAAAATACGATCTCTCAATGGAATTATTAGCCCCTTATCAGGCTTAGAAAAAGTGTAACAAGCTGCAGGCACAAACACTTGTCATGGTGATGATCTGGACAATAAGTGAAGCAAAATGTAATTTTGAAGCTATCTTGTCTTGCTAAATTTTCCCCCTTTTGCAAGGGTTAGTCCTGCCTTTTTCCCGCCTCTAGCGCTGTATCCTCCATGTGTTACGCGCTGTTTTAAATTGTATTAAAAGAGTTAATTTCAGCAGATCATCATCAACCAAACGCAATTTAAACTCTATGGTTCAGATCGCCCTAATGATTAAGTACCCCAAAGATGAGAAAAATGAAAACCAGACTCCGCTGTCGCTGAGAAGTCGCCCACAGAATCTTAGATCTGTATTGTTTATACCATTGTCTGTATTATATTCTTAAATCAAATCTCATTTTATACAGCCGTCTACAAATCTAACAATGTATACTTCAATGCTAGTATTATTTATTTGCTAGTATTATTTTGTTTACAGTCTTTGAAAGATGTAAATGCTATAATTTTGCAGTACTCAAAGAGAATACTACTTTTATTAAAAAGGTACGTAAAGGATTTTGATTGTATCTAAAACTAATGTGAAATAAACCAGTGTAATAAACAAATGGACCTCTTTTTGACTGGAGGACTATCCAAGTCAGTTTGATTCTGTGATGAGAGGGTGCAGATCTTGGATATAATAATTAATAATTTTAATGCAGGCTAGGTTAAAAAGATATTTCTCAAGGCCGAGCTGATATGGGCTGGCTGCTACACAGTTAAAATCGTAGGCTTTTGTTGTTGTTGTTCAACCCTGGGTTCCAAGAAGGAATTTAATTAGCTCCTGGGGGGGAATTAATACTAGCATAATAAGCAACAATTTATTCATATTTTTGTCTTGATAATAGTTTCATAGAGCGGGTGGGGACTCTGTAAAACCTTCCTAAAGTCCAGGCGACTCGCTTATTTTGAGTTTGATTGTTTTTATGGAGGTCTTTAAACAACTGACAAATGTACCTTCTTCTGGTAAGGAGAGCACGTTCGTTTATAGTAGAGATCCTGCCAAGTAAAACTGAAGGGGCGGATAGATAGATTAGGCAGACAGTCAATTTGCTTTCTGAATTTGAGTGAGATATCTGTAAGTCTTTTATTTTCAAATAAAACAAATCGTCAACGACCTGACAGCACCAGGATTTATTTTCTCTAGAGGTGCAAAGAGCTAAAAGTGTCTTTCTCCCCCCTGAAGACGGGGTTATAGTGCCGGTGTTTAAAAATTGTACACAGGCTATCACTTCGGTACAGGTATTATATACCAGAAAGGAAGGCCCGGGACACAATGGTCTAGACCGATCGATTGGACATTAGAAATTGCATGGATAAGATTTGGCTGGAATAGGTGCAGAAATCTGTTCAATTGTCCGGAATGTTGCAACGTTCTGCTGAGATTACCCACTTTACAGACTTCTTCTGAGCGACCACCGAGGACACCCCGGCCCTTCCTCTCCGCTCCCTCCCCCTCCTCGCCACGTGTTATAGAAATGATGAACATCCCTAGCCTGAGAGAGACAAAGAAACTGGCTGGTTTTCATCCTGTGGTATAGGGGAAAGCTGCCACAAGCACTTCATTATAAACCCATCCAGATTCCTGGCATCAGCAGCCGCTGGCGAGGAGCCACAGAACGGAACAATTGAAATTTATGAAGAAGGGTTCATGATGGAAGGCAGTTGGGTTGTTTTCACTTTGAGTTATAATTTGCACCAAACCGGTCTGTCTCTCTGTGGTGGGGGGGCTCCACACTCCTGTCTTTATGAAACACACTTTATTGCTTTCCCCGGAAGCTTTTAACTGTTTCCCTGCCCACTTTCTCTCCCCTTTCCATTCCACGCCTTAGGCTGGGGGTTAGTATCAGTTTTTGATACAGGAGGACCCTAGCAGCGTCCCCTCCCCCCTTAAATCCATGCATCTTGCTTGTGATTTTCCTACGCTTCTGATCACCCCATCAGCCTTTCTTTTACTTGACTTGGGCTACAGATAAATAATGGATCGAGTCTCCAGGTTTTACATCAGCGCGTAAATCCATTGACAACAGTAGCTGCTCCTTCACCCCTAGTGCGAGGAGAAGGGATTCCTCTTTGGAGTCTTCCAGCAGCGACCTCTGCAATGTAGGCTAGATGATCAAAAGGGAAGACAAGGCAAAAGTCATAGACATTCCGGATAAAATTAGAGGCCTGATCCTGCAGCCTACACTCAGGCAAACCTCCCGTTATGCCTTATGGGTTTTGGGTGTGTAAAGACTAAAGGAGCCGGTCCTGTGGCTCATATGTGCCTCTCCCTTGTATGCGTCATAAAACGAGCCTGCCCACACAATATAGAATTGTTCCACATGAAACGCCACACATGCAAAGGCTGATGCTGCTGTTTTACTTTAAGAAAATAAATCGCCATCTTCCTATGAAAGTTTTCCCCCTGGTTGTGAGAGCCGCGTTAATATTGTACAGTTGGAAATTCTATTTCCCCCCAAATGCAGCAAATCACCGAGCTTCTGCCATTAAAAACTCCACAGTTGCTGCACGGAAAAGTCTTGCTCAGTCAGTTTCCGTGTTATGAGCCCCTCAGCTCCCCTTCACCGTGAGCCCCCTCCTGGCAATTGCACTGACATTCATTAGGCGGCCTCGGAATGATTATACTTTTATTAGTCCAGGTTAAGCAATACACAAGCTCAGCAAGTCTTATTTATCCAGGGGTGCTATGCTACAAGGAATGCTTAATGGGACAGGGCAGCTGAAGGATTCCCTTGCAGCAGCTGATGAGAATGGACTCACTGGAAGGAAGTGGGAGGAGGCAGGAGTCTGTTCTAGAGCGGATTCTGGAAATTTTTATAAGCCAACGAGTGACCGTTGTTCAATGAGATGAGCAAACAAACACGCACTGTAGTGGGACTCAGCAACACACCCGAGCCCCAGGCTGGCGCCACCGCCACCGAGCAGGAGTTCTCGGAGCTGATTGGCAGCCCCACGTTGTAAAGTGGAATGCTGATGTTTATGGGAATTCGGACCGCAAAATCCTGGCAGAATAATATTGACTTTCTAGTTCCCTGGCATGATCATGGGACAACGTTCCTGGCTTCTGGATCAGGAATCTGTAAAACAGTCTGGGCTTTTTTCTTTCCTTCCTTTCGAATGGATTTTTGTAGGTATTTTAGCTTGGCAATAATGGAAGGCGAGTAGCAGACTTTCAAAAGGTTGATGTGGGATTTTCCAGAACGCCGTTTTGTAGGGCTTGTGAGTTGGATGGAATATCAGAGTTTCTGGAAAAAGATTAAAATATAAAAATCTGAGATCATTCCAGCATGTTGTCTCTCTCCCTAGTCTCCATTTTGCGTCATATTTTACTCTCATTACATTTCTGGGGCTCGAATGTATGGTATTTGATTACGACCATGTGTACTGGTGTGATATGGATGTAACTTATTAAAGAGCCGGTTGGGTAGAGGCATATTATTTTCTCTGATTAGCTTTTAACTGATGTAGTGGAGATGACTACAAGGAGCTTAGAAGCACTCTTTGAAACATAATGGATCAGCTCAAGGGACATTGAATTGAGAAGAGAAAAAGGCGACACTGCAACCTCAGAAAAGTGCAGCTGCCCAAAGCATGTAGTAAGATCAAGGCTGAGGTGCTATTTGAAGGCCACCATGGGCTCCATATCTTTACTATTTTGATTTTGTAAAATGTTGGATCTTTTTACTAATTTCTCATGCTAGGTTTCCTAAACCCGGATATTCTGAATCTAAGGGAATGCATTTCAGAGTAATACAATGATAATACTTTCCAAAAGCTTTACCTTACAACCTAGGCTGTAAAAGAAAAATCCTTCCAATGATCCCACTGAGTGCAACAGGAGTTGGATCCAGCCCTAAAAAAACTCCAGCCTGGTCCACTGAAGTCACTGCGGATTTTGAGATTCATTTCAATGGAGACAGGCTACCGGCCTAAACCCACCTGTTCTTCTTCACAGACATTAGGCTGTGGAATGTTCCTCAAAGGCTAGGGATAGTAGGCCCGTAGCCTAAAACCTACAAATCACAGTTCTGTCTGGACATATTTTTAGTTCCTATGTGTAAAAGTAACACCGGAAGAAGAGTAGAGCTGAAAGAGATTTGTTTGTCCCTAATGTTGATTTTTTACCTTGTGCATTTGACAACACTTTTTGCATAGACAGCTCAGAGTTTGCCCTACACAGTCTGGCAACTTTTCCCTGCTGTTTGTGTGTGGGGGCCTATTACACTGCAGCAGGGGAGAGCAGAACATTTTAAATAAATGTGATTGTAAAATCAACTGTAGTACCTGAAACTACTTGGAATTCTCTCTCTTTTTTTTTAATTGACTAGATGTCAAGTGGAAAATGGCTCTTTAAAACAGGAGATCATATACTATGGGAACACTCCCGCATTGGCAGGATTGACTAAATGTGTCTTGCTGTTTAATCACTAAGTCAATGGGAGTTATGTGCTTAAATACCTTTGTGAATCCCACCTACTGGTTAGTAGGACTAGAAACCAGATTCTAGGTCATAGTCCTCAGGACATACTATCTACTCTCCAAACTACTATCACCATACATACATCCTCATACTTACTTATAATTGTCCATCTGCTCAAGCTATAGCAATTGCATTTTGAATTATAAAGAAAAGGCAGGTTGGTCCAGAGCCATAACGGTATTTAGGCTCCTAACTTCCATTGGCATCAATATAAGTTAGGAGCCTAAATGCCTCTGCGGATCTGGGCCATGGTATCTCGTGCTAAATCCTGCTCATTTTACTGACACCAGTTGTCCCATTAAGCCGTAATGCTGTCGTGTCGATCAGCCAGCTTGTGATGAAGAGTGTACTGTCTGGCCGCTATATATCTTAAAGTGCTGCAAGTCCTCTGAGAGCCATTAGATGATAAATGATACTAGCATGCAAAATCACACTAATAATATGCAT